CATTTAAGGTTTCCCCTTTGTCATAAATTCAATAAGTGCAAGTTTCATTGCCATTTACATACCAGCTGGAAAGCCATTGCCACCATTTCTCAACCATCACAGACTGTGTGGTAAATTAATTTATTTCAGTAGTGGAAGACATGGGGGTCATCTAATCGCATTAAGCAGACTGATTTAGAAGCTCAATTTCCTGATCAGTTCATTAACATCCAGCTCTAGTCAGTCCAAGACAATAGTCCCAAGCAGTGTGATGACATTGTCTAGTTCAGTCACATTTATACATAACTGCTGGTTACAAGAACCTCAAAAGGCCAAACATAGGTATACATCAGAGGCCTGTGCATTGTGGTACTTTCCAAATACTACAGACAGATTTCTAAATACACATGGAAGTAATGTAGTAACTGAAAAATACTATGTACTCAAAGTCAACCCTTTTTAGAGTTGTGGCCTATAGATCAGAATTGATCTTCCTGTACTCTTGTGCACATTATACAAAAATCGGTCATGGGGAATTGATTTCTTCCCCATTTTAAGAAAACACAGATGTGATATGATATACATAGTAAGAGGATCTGCCAAGTTGCGTTGATCTGTGAAGGGAAGATAATCCACGTTTTTCTAGACTACACCGAGGGGAAAGAATGGCAGTGGGAGAAAGATGTAATAAATCAGCCACGTAAAAGAATGTGCACGGAAGGAATGGGCACATCAACAAAAGGCCAAGTCTAAGCAAACATTTTCTACAACCCACTAGCCTAATCCCAAGTAGATATCACAAACTAAGATACCATTCATTCCATACACTTCACATCATAAAATAAGTAATTGTATTTGCCAAACATACAGTGGCAAATGGGTTACTGTGCTAAATGTCCTACAGTACATTCAGCACCAGTTTTGTCACAATACCTGGAAGCAAGTGACATTAGCAACACGCGTTTCCACCCAAGTGCAAGGATATCCATAAAAAGGCAAGTCTAAAAGAAGCCTTTCTGGTTATGGTCCAAGCAACGCCTAATTTAAGTTAAAGTACAATGAAGCCAGAAGTCTATCCTCTGTCGACGAGGTTATCAAAATGCTGCTGTACGACAGTATTCAAAGATCACATACTCGATGTACAACATTTTTAGGCCATTATACATTATTCACACAAGTCAGTATTAATGATCATGGCCCAATAAATACAAATAGTGCTGCACTGTAATTCCACTGTCAGAAGTATGATGCCAGAACCATTTTACCTAGGTTTATTAATAGACATTACGAAAAAAGACAATTGGTTTTGTTTAACAAGTTATTTGTACATACCTGTATATGCAGTCTGTATTGTGTACCGCAGAGCAAGCAGGAATACTATTCTCCAGGTCTTACTGCCCAATCCCTTTTGCAGTACTACAGATCCTCAATGTAATGTATTGCAGACAAGCTGACTGTACTTATTCACTGTAGAGCGGCATTACTTGCAAGGGCGCAGTACAAATGGCCACCAGCAGCCGCTTGCTGGCTTGTAACTCTCAGACGCGTTGCCATGTAACCTGAGAATCTGAAACTGTTATCACTGCCACTGAAGAATACTGGGGAAGACAAGTTATTTCAGATTGTGCCCAGGAATATTGGGCATTGCAAAATTCAGCATCTGAAGCCAAATGGCAAACAGCTAAATCTTTTACAGCACTCAGATTTAGCCCATATCAGAGATCAAATTGGTCAAATTTTGTACATTTGTAAACTGGATAATACAAAATAGGTGGACTTTTACTGGCAACTGACAATGTAACTGATCAATTGCCAGTTTATCTTCTTTCAAAAGTTTTCCTTGTAATTTTGTGCAAAGTATTAAAACAAATTGCAATTCCAAAAGACTTTTTGGAAGGAGCAAAGATGTATGGGTAAAATCAGTTTATGCAACCTATTTAAGTACCGTGCAATTTAGATATTGTTTTCTGAACGTCTATGGTTTGTAAATGCAGAGTTATAAATTGTAAAGTGGAATCTACTGATGCAACTTAGAAAAGCAATCAAGTTTTAAAAAGGAAAAGCTTACATTTGATCACCTCCTTAGAAATTGCCACTCCTACTTCTGGTTTACAAGCACAGGTGAACCAGTAATTAAATGCAGTGGTTCAGCCAGACATTAAATTGTTTAGTACAACCCCATTGTTGCATTAAAATAGCACAAATGCCAAAAACATTCGCTACCGATCCACTGTTTTGGAATTTAATAACTTTTCAGCATTCACTTAAAATGTTAATGTTTACCCATCAAGCTATTTTTAATTCAATCCCTCTGTCCCCAATTGTGGCTATACAGAGAATTTGAAGACTCCCAATATTTGTTAAACAAACGGGTACTTTTTCACATTGATTTTCAGTCCGCTGGTTTGATGGAAATAATTCATTTACGCCTTCGGTTTTTCTTCCCCAAAAAGACTTTTTAAAAATAACACTTACCATTATCATAATGTTACAGCATCAGTAACCTGTTGCACTATGTTACTGCAACTTTGATTTCCAGTTGCCCATCAAAGCTGTCCAGCTTCCATAGGCAGATGTTACAGATGCCACATTCTGGTAGTCCAAGTATCCTCACGCAAATAAAAACTCTGCAATTCATTTGCTACCATCCAGTTGAGCTACTGGTTTGCCCCATTACCACCAATACTTATTTTGTGAGTGAAGCAGAAGTTACTTCAAGCATGATTTTTCTGAAGCCATTTAAACAAATATGAACAAATCATCTAAAATCAGGACTGGAGATAATTTTATGTAGTATTCATTAAGGTTAAAGAATAATTTGGGTTGAAAACATTTGCATAAAATTAGTCAGGACGAGTTTATGTCTTTGTAGTTCAAAAATCCATAGAAAATGTGTGCAATATTTCAAAACCAGTTCAGTACACATGTAAATAAGATTTTTTTATGTATGACCTTTTAAAAAATGCACTTTATACGTTCCAATTTAACCTTTATTTTGCAAAGCAAATCTGATTAGGTCAAATTTCCAGGGAAAGCTGGATTGCGATCACCATTGGGTGGATGCCAGCATTCAATATAAAAAGGCTTCAATGGATAACAGTACGAAATGCTTGTACAGATACAAGATAAGATATTCTAAGTCATGTCGCATTGAAACCATTCCATCAATGCTGCATAAATTGCAGAATATTCTGCTTTAGTGCAGGGAAATTGCTGCCCAAGTTTCCTGCTGCTTAAAATCATTCAATGTGTTTCTTCTTTACATGCCTACCACTAACTATCCGCTCTTAGCCTTAATTTGCATTACTGTGAATCAAGCCAAAAAAATCTCACTAAAGCATTTGGAAGTAAGCTTAAAGGGAATATGATGCATTAATTAAGTGTTGTGTATTGTAAAGAGGAATCTTAAAAAAAAGACTGGAGAGCCATGACAAGAGAGATAGAATAGAAAAGATTTAAGCACACAATGAACAAATTCAAACACTGTAGTAGCTAGTTAAACATTGTTACTTTGCTTAGTCCACATGAAATGTTGGCCAACAAAATATTAGAACCAAGATCTTAAATGAAAAACCACAATGACATGACCAAACCACAGGTCCAGCCATTAATGCAGTATTAAACAGAGGGGTCAGACCCACCTGCCTCAACACAGAGGGGATCAGACCCACCTGCCTCAACACAGCATGTGTAGATTAAATCATGCTTAGCCATTTTTATTGGAAAAGCTGTCCTGTCCCTCCAAACAATCCCAATCCCCTTAGCTATGAAGATTAGGCAACCAAATCTGTCTCGTCTTATGTCGGTACTTCTATTCCACTAGTCACTAAGTACAACTTTAGCAACGGATTACCCTATATTTATTAACAGGTTGCAAATCTCATCCAAGCCTTTAAAAATGTAGCCACTGATAAATGATAAAGCAACTCTTCAGGTGGTTCAACAGCTAAAGCTAGCCTTTGGCATGGTGCTGCTGCATAAAGATTAAGGTGGAATCAAATTGACCTTCAATGTCTTGGTGATATGTCAATATTGGTGGGAACTTTGGTGAAGGGAAAGTATAATTGAACCTCAGTAGCTCTAGGTTAAAGGTAACAAGAATTAATCTTGCTCCCATTAATCACTAGAAAGTACATCTAGTGACAGGATCTGGTCAAAAGAGTGAACCGATGAATAATCAGACAATTAAAAGTTCCTGAAAGCTGCACCCCAGCACAAACTACCATCTTCAGAGGGACCCCCACTCCCCCAAAAAAATAAGTTAGTAAATAGGCAAAGGAAGAAAAATGAAAGTTACAAACGCAACGTAAACTTGTGCTTTGCACTTAGCATTAGCACTTAACAACACAACTACTTTGCACATGCAAATCTTTTAACAAACTTGGGAGTCAGTAAAACTAGGTGTATTAAGAGAACACTTAACTCCAACCCCCTATATATACACTTGGGTTGTCTCCAGAAATCAGAGACAAACATGGGAACCTGGATGAAAACTTTACCAAATGCCAACTGAAGATAGTGTGGACCCAAAACTAGAGCCACACAGATACACTTTGGAAGCTAAACAAAGGGCACAGGTAATGTGTCTGAACAGGTGGTAAGTCAGATACATACGAAAAGGGTCATCTAAAAGAATTTAAAGCCACTCTTCAAAGTTAGAGTAGCTCTCTTCAACACTGCGTTGTCCATTTCTTGTACAAACTTGGCCAATTGACAGAACTGTTTAAACTCCAAACTGAGTTTGTTTAAAGGTCAGAACCCCCGAAAATTATCTATCTACTTGTACACCGTGTCAGGTGGACAATCTTAATTGTCTATTGTCCCTCACTTCACAATTCTTACCTTCATCACATGCACTGACCTTGAATAGTGATACAAAGGATTTCTCTAGAAACGTTAACAGTGAACGTCACTGACGGGAAATCATTGGTCTCAGAAACAGTGCACGTGCCACACATTTATACTGGGAATTTTGGGTGTTAAATTTCCAACAATGTTGAAAACAAAACTCACTTGGGTCATTAGCACTACGAATGGGCTTTAATTTTAAAAAAGACGCACCAAAATACAGAATGCCACCATTTCAAAACAGGCATTTTAGCCTGCACATTTTAACACATGCTTCTATAACGATTCAGAACAAAAATACATGGAGCATACTTTCTAGAGTTTTAATGGCACTTCAGTGTACAGTCAGTACTGGGAAACGTTGCCTACTTGCACTATCACTGTTGCTCGACGACATAATTCAACATTCACAATGTGCCAACGTGAAATGTTACATTTACAGATACTTTAGTGAATACACAAATCTAAATAGGCATAAAATGCAACTGTTGCTGCCAACTAAAACAAAATGTTAAAAATGAAGAGTCCATGTCTAAATGAAAGACCATATCTGGAATGCACTCTACAAGAAAGTATGAACTCTAGTATCTAGGCTTCTTGTTAGCTCCTTCATATTCTTCTCTCCCTCTACCAAAACTAGGCCCACTAGGCCCCATTGGACGGGGGGCTTGAGCATTCATAGGACCTGGGGGTCCCTGTCCAAAGCGATCATTACGCTATTGGAAAATTAAAAGTTCATCACATAGAATGTAGTCAGTGTCCATACAGGTTGCATGTTAACAAAGTGAATAAAATGTGCAACATTTTAGGTCAGGGAAGACATCCGCAGTCAACGTTCGTCGATTACAACCAGGAATGGGGCGATCCACAGGTACCAGGCACATAAAAAGAAAAAAGAGGGCAAGTTTTTTATTAGTTTACTGACCTCTACATGGAAGAATCTATTGTGGGTTGAATCCTCCCATGTCCTGTGTTAACTTATTAAGAACAGCAGCTATTCTGCTTGTAGTGCATGCAGACAATTATTGCCAACATTGAGAGATGCAGTTCAATGTGCAAATGTCTGGCGAGGATTTATAGATTTCCATTAACGGTGCAACCTCTGCATTTTGAAGTTCGTCTTGAACACAGAGTTTCAACACTTCCAAGTTGAATAGCCTCTGCCCTTAATGAAAGTTACACAAGCAACCACCGATTCTTTCCCACCCACCGCCTCCCATTAATGGATGCTGACCAACGAGCCAGTATCATAGTACATGGTCTGCACAGCGATTGTTCTTGGCTAAGCAGTAATCTATTGGTTGTTGGAGCAAGTTGAAAATTGTCAATTTAAAGCCTGTTGGTACAAGATTGTAAATCTCTATTAAACTTCACATTGCCAACACAGGTACGTTTATAGACTTTTGGTTCGAATGAGCAACTTTGTAGAATTGGGCTGAAATCTGCAATCACAGTACAGCACAAATGCTATAACACTGGATCACAGTTTCAATAGCATCGTATTCTACATGAACATTAACATTATTATGCGCGATTGAGAAAATCATTTTAATATATAATTCCTTCCACAACAAACCTCAAGGAATGTAAGAAAATGAGTTCCGCTGATGGAAGGACACTGACAAGTCTCATCAGTTTTTAAACTCTATAGCGCAACTGGTTGTCACAAGGCAGCAACATCAAACGGTTGATAAAATTCAAGTGTCAAAATAGCACTGGGAATTATAGAAGACCACAGACAAAACAAACATTAGGTTTAGCAATCTGCTGAGGTACACATTTAAGCATCCATTACTAGTTTGTTAAATCGAGTTGTATCTATAACTTGACAAAAGTGGCTACAAGAAGCATATGTCCATCTGTCAAATGGAAGTATGGCACAGCATCTAACCTTACACAGGGACAGATACAATAGGCTCACTACTCTACTGCATCTGGTCACCTAGCAGAGGTCAGCAGAAACAGCATTTGAATGTAATGGCCCATACAAAAATCGAGGCACATTTCAACCAAGCCAAGACTCGGTGTAAGCATGCTTAATTCTCAGTAACATTTATATCCAACCATTATATCCAAATATCAGTCTCTGTACAAGAATGCTGAATATTTTACTTCAACTTCCTGCACAAGAAACTAATTTTAGTAGGCTGGTTTTACAACATCCAGCCTGAAACAAGTTATACAGATGTGTCCTTAAAATCATTTCTTTGCTTCCCCCGCCCCATTGGGACTGAATCTTTGAAGCACCTCTTCAGTTTACAATATAAACTAATTTTCAGGCCTAATCTAAACTAAATCCACACGTTCCCTCCCATTCCCCTCACCATTTAAAAAAATCATATTAATAGCACATTGATTTGAGACCCATTAGCATTCAGTAGACCCATTTCATTTCCCTTGGTATTACATGGTTTAGAAATCAGTGTCATTTACAAGTCAAACTAACATGGCCACTTTTAGCGGTAAACCAGACAGGCTTTACCAAATTAGTTATTGCAATAGTGTTCTGGGTAACCTGCACATTTTGAGCTGCAGGATACACATTTATCTTGATCAAGTCACAGAAGCACTCCCGAGTTGTTACTGTGCCCAATACACTTTACGCAAATAAGACAATAATTCTTCAGTAGTGACTTGACAATTAGACCACGATTGTGGAAATCAGATAAACACATATGAAACATCCAATTTAATTATATTTTGAATTACTAGATCAATGATCAGATTAACATGTCACTACGTTAAGTGTACAAACTTCCCTGAAAAACAAAATCTCTACAATCAAGTACAGGCCAAGCTTTTTGCTACCTTAGGCAGCCTTACTCATGTTGCACGTGCAATCTGCTTTGATTATGCTGCACTACTGTTCTCAAAAGTAGTTACCTATTGCTGCACTAAAAAGTTTCCCTAGCCAGAAGACCAAGTTCACAAGCTTGTACAGATCAGTTTATCATAGTCATATATCCCTCACCAAAATTATCTGTCCTTAACACCCATCACCCACATTCACTTCATATTCTTCAGTCAAGACCACGTTCAAACATTAGTTTCTAATCATGGTGCGCTTTACCCCTGCCATGTCGTTGCTGGCGCCACCAGCACCCATCATCTGTCCACTCATCGCACTGGGTCCTCCGGGGCTATTCATTGCATTATGGCCTTCATAGCCCATTCCTCCCATAGGTGGGAAGCTCTGGTTACCAGGTGGAAATTGATCTGCAAGTCGGAAATAAAAGTCAATATTCCTTGAATATTTACAATTACATTAGGAAAGGTAGCAGTTACTTGTCAACTGGTCAATGTATTTTCCCCACGACCCTGAAGCATCATATTTCACAAACAACAAGAAGATTACATTTGTATAGCACCTTTCACATCGGGAGGATGTCCCAAGGCGCTGAAACAAAAGTATTATGCACAGATGCAGCCACCAAGTATTGCTTTCCATTGGCTACATAACAGGGAAGAAACACTTTTACTGATACCTCACAAAATGATTATCCAATTACTAGCTGTTTCTAGGAGTATTCATGGAGTCTTGTAGCTCAGCGGTTAGAACACTCTGGAGACCTGGGTTAGATTCCGAGTCAAAGCGAAGTTTCCTTACTTCAAACACCTGTTTACCTAGTGGTAAGTGGGAACCCGGATGTTAGTCGATTGGCAGATTGCTTTTCTGGGGATAATAATCCTTAAAAAAAACAATATCTTGGTCACTCAATCCACGACTATCTATGGGACACTGCTGTACGCAATTTGCAGTTGCCCAATTGTTTCGCCCATAAATATACAGTCAATTCACTTTACAGTATATTCCGTAAAGCGCTTTTAGACATCTAGTAGACGTGAAAAGCACTATATCAAATGCAATTATTATTATTATGTAATCAGGAACCTCAATGTTGCACCATGAAATATATCCTGGAAAGTAGACAATCATAGATACACACTAACTACACAGACATTTTTCTAGGGAATCCCTTGAATTAATCTGGTGATGGTGCAATATTCCCACAACCCAGCAAGCAAGGATATTCTCCTCAGTAAGAAAACAGTTATGCCAAAAATAGCAGTAAAATGTTCATCTCCCATGCAAAATTTATCAACTGTACTGCCAGCAACAACTATACTCCATAGAATATGCAAGTCTATAATAAGCCAATGGAGGAACAGAAAATTCATCTCACCTGCAATGCCACCACCCATTCGCATCTCTCGCTCCCGCTGAAAAAAATTACGCAATACCCTTTAAGGTCATCTACTCAAAATTGGATCACTAATAGAAGGCAAATCTAAAACCAATTTACAAGAACGTGAGACCTTACAAGCACAAGTAAATTACATCTACATGGTATTCCCAGTTCACTAAATGAAAAGTTACGCTTGTTCTAAAATCATTTAAAGGCTCTTACTGGATCCATGTAACCCATTCTGAAGTTCTCCTCTCTCTGGCGTCTCATCATCTCTTCCTTCTCCCGCTGACGCATCAACATTTCCTCCTCTCTTCTACGTCTCTCTTCCTCTTGCCTGAAAAATTGTAACAAAAACATTAACTTGATATTGCTCAAATATGAATTCTACAGGCAAGCAATTGAGATATTTTAAAGAAAGCATTACCTCAACTCCAGTTGTTTACGTTTCTGTACTTCTTGGTTGTGAAGCTCCTCCATACGACGAAGCTCCTCTTGACGCCTCATAAGATCTGTTTGAAAATTGGGAGGATTGACATCGACATAAGCAAGTCACGTAGCTTTGGGCTAATCAATACAAAAGCCTCAACATTGCTATGGTTAATATTAGCAGGCTTATACCAGCTCCTGACTTACCTTGTCTCAGCAGCATTGCCTGATGTTCATGGTATGCATCCTCCATTTCATTTTCCAGTTTGTCTCTAGCTTCCCTCATGTTCTTTTCCACTTGATCTCTTTGCTGTTTCTCCATTTCATCAAGAGACTTCCATCTCTGGGAATATTCAAACTCAAACGAACCATGTTGAGCAAAGCGAGGAGGATGTTCCCTCTCCCTGCACCAAATAAAGTAGCTATTTCAACAAAACTGACTTTCCAGTATCTCAAGCATGTATCAACTGACATCCTCCCGACGTGAAAGGCGCTTTATAAATGCAATCTTGTTGTTGTTTCACACATTTTGAAGAATTTTGAAGATACTATTTTGTTATACAACGCAATATAGCTTTTCTGGAATATAGTGCTATTTAATATTAAGAAAATTAAAACTAAATATTTTCTTTGCTTCCACCTTATTTGTCAGGAACCTTAAAAACAATCAGGTCGCGCATTTTCAATGGAGGACAAAGACACTCGAAAGCACATGAAGCTAATCTCAATTCTGTACTGAATTTCACAATACAATCAACTTGAGTCAAAACATTTGTCAAGTACAGTCATTCATGCTCACTTTTGATACATAGGATTCCTCTGCGCAAGCTTCTCTGGAAGGCCATCCTCATCATCATATTGTTCCATTGGTTCCACAATCACAGGTCTGGGGGACCTACAATAAAAGTCAAAATTTTATAAACCTCTTTGCGTAAAAGAACAATCTCAAAGTGCTTTGCAGATTCAAATTAATTAGAAATGAGGTAAGTAACATGTAGGCACATGCTATTGCTACATTAATTATACGTGCAGGAAACCCCCAGTTGATTGGACTCCAGGTATTTGAATCTGACTGAACAGAACACCGAGAGACATTTTAAATACCACAAGCCGCATGAAGACTCCCGCGGGCCCAACTCTCGCTAACGCATGCCGGCATTTTCCGGCACTCCATATGCACTTTTTGCATGACCAGCACTGTAATTACACAGCCCGATATTCAGGCTCAACCAGATTCCTCCCCCACCATTAGTCCTACGAGCAAGAGTTAATCTGTATTAAGTAAATTATAAATTCACTACACTCCATCAAACAATAGGTGCATAAAGTAATCGAAAATAAGATACACTAGAAACTGCAACACTCCACTCCAGCTGACAGCATACCCAACCAGAACCTAATTTCCAAGGAGAAAACTTCATAATCCAATTTGCAGCTGAATTTATAAGAAAATACTACATTTTTCACATCACTTCCTGTATACCTCCTATAATCGTGATGCAATACAAATGACAAACCGTTAGTTACTTACGCTGTTAAAAGAAACACGCCCTCATTGCATCGTTCAAGAGCCTTCCTTGCTGCTGGTTTGGTGGCAAACTCAACTATTCCTTTCCCAGTTGACCTGCCACGATCATCCACAATTACAATGGTCCTCTCCACTTGACCAAACTGGCAGAATGCTTCTTCGAGTAGTTCATTAGAGACGTAGGGCGAGAGATTCCGCACAGTCAGAGCTGCAGAATGTGTAGCAAAACGGATGCGAAGAGGTCTACCTCTCATTAGGGTATCATCAAGTTCAGCTTTGGCTATCTCAGCCAAAGTTCTGCTCTCCTATAGAAAGAAAGCAAAACGAAAAATTGGGACACTAAAGTGGAAGTTCAGACTCACAGGGTTTTTATGTTCACACATTACACCAAACAGCTATTGAATTCCCTGCTATATTCGCAACACAATCAAGTGACTGCAAATAATTTATGGGACACAAGGTTATGACCCCACTGCACAACAAAAATTCCACTTTAGTCCATGATTGGTTGATATTGAATAATAATTTAGAATTGTTCACTCCTTTGGAACAATGCGACATGGGCGGTGGGGAGAATTAACACTTACAGGACTCGTATTTCACGGCCTTTTCGCGGTTACTAAGAGGTGATGTGTGAGGAACGCGGTTCTGAAGAGCGAACCTTCTCCGATTTGGAAACTTAAAGCCGCTACGAGCCTCGGGCCCTCCCGGCGGCCTGGGAGGCCCTCAGCGCAGCGTCAGGTCCTCACAGCGGCAAACCTCCGCTCCCCCCCACCCTCCAGGGCGCGCGCCTCCCCTCCCGCGCCGTCCAGTTACGTCTCTCGGGGACACGCCTCCCCACTCGGAGCGCGCCTCCCCCGCTCGGGCCCCGCGGCCGCTCACCAGGCGGGAGCGCGCCTCCCCCGCTCGGGCCCCGCGGCCGCTCACCAGGCGGGAGCGCGCCTCCCCCGCTCGGGCCCCGCGGCCGCTCACCAGGCGGGAGCGCGCCTCCCCTCCCCCGCTCGGGCCCCGCGGCCGCTCACCAGGCGGGAGCGCGCATCCCCTCCCCCGCTCGGGCCCCGCGGCCGCTCACCAGGCGGATGAAGCCGAAGCCTTTGCCCTTGTTGATGAACACCTCCCCGGGGTCGCCGTATTTCTCAAACAGCCGCTTGAAGTCGGCCTCGGTGATGTCGGCCGGCAGGTTCCCGACGAAGAGGCGGCAGCGCTGGGTGTAGGTCTTCTCGCCGGGTTTGCGGAGCAGCGACAGCTGTGCCCTCAGGATCTCCTGCTCCTGCCGCTGCTCTAACTGCTGCTCCTGGCGCTGCTGCCGGGCCTGGGCCTGACTCTCGGGGCCCGGGTGCTGCTTGGCCTCGCCACCCGCGCCCCCTCGGGCCGTCACCGCCGCCGCTACCGCGGGGCTGGGCGCGGCCGCCGCCTCGCCGTTCTTCTTGTCGGGCTCCTGTGGCTTCTGAGAGGCCTGGGCGGCGGCCTTGGCAGCCGGGGACTGCTGCGGGCCGGGGCCTGGCGTGGGCTGCGGAGGCTTCAGGGCCTCGAGCGGGTTTCCCGCCCCGTTTGGTCGGTGGGGGGCGTTGTTCCTGTTGCCGCCGCCGCGGACCGGGGGGCTCATTCCCCCACGCCTCTGGAAACCGCCGCGGTTCCTGAAACGGTCCCGAGACATTTTGTTTTCTGTGCTTCTCGCGGGTCCTCAAATGACGCGGCTCCGCCTCACACAGTTGACAAAATGGCGCCTGCTGGCCGCTCGGCTCCGCGCCCCGCCTTATATACCGTGCTCCCGGCCCACCCCTTCCTCGCGCTGATAGGTCCGGAGCCGCCGGAAGCTACAACAGGCGGAGCGAACCATTGGTCCAGTCGGACATCCATCACCCAGGCCGCACCCCTCCCCCCCGCCCGCCCGCCACTGGAGCGGAAACCGCCAATGGGCTCAGCAGACAAAGAGCACACAGTGCAGACAAACCACAGAGGGTACAGCACACAGTCACTACACTCCATACAGCACACACAGTCACTACACTCTCCATACAGCACACACAGACACAGTCACTACACTCTCCATACAGCACACACAGTCACTACACTCTCCATACAGCACACACACAGTCACTACACTCTCCATACAGTACACACACAGTCACTACACTCTCCATACAGCACACACACACAGTCACTACACTCTCCATACAGCACACACACACACAGTCACTACACTCTCCATACAGCACACACACACACACACACAGTCACTACACTCTCCATACAGCACACACACACAGTCACTACACTCTCCATACAGCACAACACACAGTCACTACACTCTCCATACAGCACACACACACACACACACAGTCACTACACTCTCCATACAGCACACACACACAGTCACTACACTCTCCATACAGCACACACACAGTCACTACACTCCATACAGCACACACACAGTCACTGCACTCCATACAGCATACACAGTCACTACTCTCCATACAGCACACACACAGTCACTACACTCTCCATACAGCACACACACACAGTCACTACACTCTCCATACAGCACACACAGTCACTACACTCTCCATACAGCACACACAGTCACTACACTCTCCATACAGCGCACACAGTCACTACACTCTCCATACAGCGTACACAGTCACTACACTCTCCATACAGCACACACACACAGTCACTACACTCTCCATACAGCACACACACACAGTCACTACACTCTCCATACAGCACACACACACAGTCACTACACTCTCCATACAACACACACACAGTCACTACACTCTCCATACAGCACACACACAGTCACTGCACTCCATACAGCATACACAGTCACTACACTCTCCATACAGCACACACACAGTCACTACACTCTCCATACAGCACACACACAGTCACTACACTCTCCATACAGCACACACAGTCACTACATTCTCCATACAGCACACACAGTCACTACACTCTTCATACAGCACGCACACAGTCAATACACTCTCCATATAGCACACGCACACAGTCACTACACTCTATACAGCACACACACAGTCACTACACTCTCCATACAGCACACACACAGTCACTACACTCTCCATACAACAACAAATTACATTTATAGAGCGCCTTTTACGTCGGGAGGATGTCCCAAGGCGCTGGACAGTCAGGACCCGAGGGAGGGGTGAGTTAGGGGGGAGGGGGAGCGGTGAGTTAGGGGGGAGGGGGAGCGGTGAGTTAGGGGGGAGGGGGAGCGGTGAGTTCGGGGGGAGGGGAGGGGGGAATTAGGGGGAGGGGGAGCGGTGAGTTAGGGGGGAGGGGTGAGTTCGGGGGGAGGGAAGGCAGAGAGGTGGGAGGGAGACCAAAGACATGGTCGAAGAGAAGGCTCTTGAGACCGGCCTTGAAGGAGTTGAGGGAGGAAGAGAGGCGGAGGGACCGTGGGATGGAGCTGAAAGCTCGGCCACCGATGGTAGGGCGGGTCAGGTGGGAGACATGGAGCAGCCGGAGCCCGATGAACGGAGGGAGCGGGCAGGTTGGTAGGGAGTCAGCAGGTCAGAGAGGTAGGAGGGGGCACAGCCATGGATGGCCTTAAAGGTGAGGACGAGGATCTTGAATTCGATCCTCGGGGATGGGGAGCCGGTGGAGTCGGGCGAGGGTGGGAGTGATGGGGTCGGGCGAGGGTGGGAGTGATGGGGTCGGGCGAGGGTGGGGGTGTTGGGGTCGGGCGAGGGTGGGGTGATGGGGTCGGGCGAGGGTGGGGGTGATGGGGTCGGGCGAGGGTGGGGTGATGGGGTCGGGCGAGGGTGGGGGTGATGGGGTCGGGCGAGGGTGGGAGTGTTTGGGGCCGGGCGAGGGTGAGGGTGATGGGTCGGGCGAGGGTGGGAGTGATGGGGGGCGAGGGTGGGAGTGATGGGGTCGGGCGAGGGTGGGAGTGGGTCGGGCGATGGGGTGGGGTCGGGCGAGGGTGGGAGTGTTGGGGCCGGGCGAGGGTGAGGGTGATGGGGTCGGGCGAGGGTGGGAGTGATGGGTCGGGCGAGGGTGGGAGTGATGGGGTCGGGCGAGGGTGGGAGTGATGGGGTCGGGCGAGGGTGGGAGTGATGGGGTCACTGGTGCGTGAGAGTACACGAGCTGCGGAGTTTTGGATGATCTACAGGATGTGAAGGGAAGAGTTGGGAAGGCCGATGAGGAGGGAGTTCCCGTAATCGAGCCTTGAGGTGACGAATGCGCGGGTGAGGGTTTGGGGCTGAGGGGTGAGGCAGTGGCGGAGTCTGGCAATGTTGCGGAGGTGGTGGTAGGCAGTGCTGATAATGGTGTGGATGTGGGGGAGAAAGGACAGTTCAGGGTCAAACGAGACCCCCAGGTTCCTGACTGGCTCAGTGAGGGTGAGTGTGCAGCCGTGGAGGCTGATGCTGCCAGTGCCTGAGGTGCGGAGGCGCTGGCGCGAGCCAATCAGGAGGGCCTCGGTCTCGCTGATGTACAAACACATGCAGCACACATACACAGGCACTGCACTCTCCATACAGCACAAAGTGACTAACTCCCCGTACTGCACACAGTCACTACACTCACCATACTGCACACACAGTCACCATGCTCTCCATACAGCACACACACATACAGTCCCTCCACTCTCCATACAGCACACAGTCATTACAATCTTCAGGAGTCCTGTAGCTCAGTGGTTAGAGCACTCGCTTTGCAAGTGAGAGACCTGAGTTCAATTCCAGGCAGAGGGTGAAACCTTGGGCCAAGTTTCCTTACTCCACACAGAGCCTAATAATAATCCCTCCAAAACAAAACAATAATAAATTGGTCATTTTCAATCCACGACTGTTTGTGGGACATTGCTGTGCGCAATTGGCTGCCGCGTTCGCCCACAAATATACAGTCAATTCACTTTACAGTGTGTTCTGTGAAGCGCTTTGGGACGTCCTCCCGACGTGAAAAGCGCTATATCAAATGCAAGGATTATTATTATTATTATCTTTATACAGCACACACACAGTCACTACACTCTCCATACAACAGACACACACACAGTCACTACACTCCATAAAGCGCACACATGCACACACAGTCCCTACACTCTCCATACAGCACACACACATATAGTCCCTACACTCTCCACACAGCAGTCATTACAATCTTCATACAGCACACACACAGTCACTACACTCTCCATACAACAGACACGCACCCAGTCACTACACTCTCCATGCAGCACACACAGTCACTACACTCCATACAGCACACACAGTCATTACACTCTCCATACAGGAAACACAGTCACTACATTCTCCATACAACACACACCAGTCACTACGCTCTCCATACAGCACACATTCACTATACTCTCCATATAGCACACAGTCAATAGTCACTACAGTCTCCACGCAACACACACATAGTCACTACACCCACCATAGAGCACACACCCTCCCTACACCCTCCAAACAGTACACATTCACTACACCCTTCATACAGCAAACACAGTCACTACACTCTCCATGCAGTAAACACACCCTCCACATAATGTACACACTCCCTACACCCATTGGCAGTTTGTGGAGGAGTTGGGATTTTCAAAAAGCAGTGAGTTAGCATAGTCAAGCCTGGATATAATGAAAAAAGTGATGAGGGTCTCGGCCGTCTGAGCGGAGAAACAGTGGCAGAGGAAGACAGAAGGAGCCATGACATAGATGTGGGGTTTAAAAGAAGGTTGAGGATCGAGCAAGACACCAGGGTTTCCTAGTGGCTCTGAGGTTGAGAGTGGGTCATGAATAGTGATGCCTTCAGCACCTGAGGTGCGGAGGCGCTGACGGGAGCCAAGCAGGAGGACCTCAGTCTTAGACATTGAACTGGAGAAAGTTGGCTCTCATCCAAGACTTCATGTCTGACGTTTTGGGTGTCAGCCCCATACATGCCTGTGCGTGATATTGCCGAACGGTAGCAAGTAAATATTAAAAGAGTAGAGGACCAAGACAGAGCCCTGAGGAACACTTCATGTCATGGTGTGAAGGCTGGAGGATGGATCAATTTCAAGAACCTCTCTGGTTTTCAAATGCCTTCATGTCCTTGCACCTCCCTACCTAACCGACCTGCTTATCCTCCACTCCACCACCCGCTGCCTCCATTTGGCTGACTCCGGCCTCCTGTTTGTCGTTCTTGCTCTCTGTTCCACCCATCGGTGTCCGTGCCTTCAGCCACTATGCCCAAAACTCTGGAACTCTTTCCCTCAATCCCTTCGCCTTGCCCTCACCCACCTTCAATCCCGCCTAAATTTGATTGTGCTTATGATCACCTCCCCAATCCCTCTGGCTCATTGTCAGACTCCGCCACTGTGAAGTGCTCTGGGACACTACCCTGCATAAAGGGTGCTATATAAATGCGAGTTGAAAGGAAAGAAAACCAGGCACAGACAGAACCGTGAAGCTGAGAGGAGATGAAGAGAGATAAAGTGGTCGACAGTATTGAAGGCGACAAGAGTTTGAGAAGGATGAGGAGACAGATAGACCCCTGGTAACAGATGAACAGAATGTAATTTGCAACATTGACTAAGGCTGTCTCTGTATCTTGGTTAGCATGGAAACCACATTGGAGAGGTTCATACAGGGAATGGTGGGAGAGAAAAGAGCAAAGCAATGACTCATTCCAGGACCTTGGAGAGAAAAGGAAGACTGGGGATGGGACAGTAGTTAGAGACCAGGGATGGGTCGAGGGAAGGTTTTT